TTCAGGTTGCAACAAAACAAACTACACCATCTTTACAGTGGAACAACTGTATTTTTTTCATAGTTCTATAATGTAGATTAGAAGAGGATTCTTTGTTGTCTGTGTTATTTTAAACATATTTCTTTTTTTTTATTTGTAACAATATTTAACTTTGCTATAATCTATACATTAAAAAGCCTCTGTGCAAAATTGAGTGAAAACATTTAACAGCTCCCTGAGAGTTTTTTCTTTGTACTTTAATCCTCCCATCTTTTCAGTGGCTGTAGTGAGCCTGCTTTTTGCTGTAGATCTTCTGAAATCTGGGTTGCAGTGTCACAACTGTCCATTATGCTCAGTCAAGCAAGCGCTGTTTTTTTTTTATTTTCTTCATTCATCCATACCGCTTCCCGCGCCCCCCCTGCAATGGCATTGCGCCCCCCCAGGGGGCGCGCCCCACACTTTGGGAACCACTGAAATAGGGGTCCCTATGTCCTCCAGCAGTCTAAGCCTATAGCAGCATAACTATAGAGATAGCTCAGGATAACCTGAGCCACTCTAACTATAAGCTTTATCAAAAAGGAAAGTTTTAAGCCTACCCTTAAAAGTAGACAGGGTGTCTGCCTTACAGACTAAAACTGGTAGTTGGTACCAAAGGAGAGGAGCCTGATAGCTAAAAGATCTGCCTCCCCTTCTACTTTTAGAAATTCTAGGAACCACTAGTAAACCTGCATATTGAGAGCTAAGTGCTCTGTTAGGAAAACAAGGAACAATCAGATCTCTGATATAAGATGGAGCTTGGCCATTTAAGGCTTTATATGTGAGAAGAAGGATTTTAAATTCTATTCTGGATTTAACAGGAAGCCAATGAAGAGAAGCCAGGATAGGAGAGATATGATCTCTCTTTTTAATTTTCATCAGAACTCTGGCTGCAGCATTTTGGATCAACTGAAGACTTTTAATTACAGTTTGTGGACTTCCTGATAGTAGAGAATTACATTAGTCCAGCCTTGAAGTAAAAAATGCATGAAAAGTTAAAATACATGTAGAACTTTACTATGGAGAGATGTATTTCAGTTTATGTTTTTTTCTTCTTACCGATGGACCTCTTGAGTTGGGAAGGAAGGAAGGAAGGAAGGAAGGAAGGAAGGAAGGAAGGAAGGAAGGAAGGAAGGAAGGAAGGAAGGAAGGAAGGAAGGAAGGAAGGAAGGAAGGAAGGAAGGAAGGAAGGAAGGAAGGAAGTATTGACAAAGCATTGACAAACTGGAAGTATTGACAAAGCGGAGACCAGTCGCATTTAAATGTTTAGCCAAAAGACTTTCATAAATTACACATACACATTTGGTTTAACACATTTTACTAAGGGTAAGGTCAATAATATTTTTCACTGGTGTCTTTACCAACAGAAATTTAGAAATAATCTGAGATGAACTTTGCACTAAAACAGCAATAAAAACTAGCAAATAGAAAAAATTAATCGAGCATGCTTTTTGGGTCATATACCTGTAGTGTAGGGGTCAAAATGCAGGCAGAAAGCAGACAAGATCATGCTGCAGTACAATTTTAATTAAAGAATAGAGAATACACAAAAAAAGGAACATGCAAAAAGGGAAATAACAGGGGCACAGATCGGAAATGCATTGATGACAAAAAAAGGGGACTCTGACAAAGGCTTAGGGGACTGTGGTAGTATATACTATTCTTACACAAAAGACATTATTACTGGTATAAGTATCAGGTGCAACTTACACCAGGCTCACACTGAATGTGGTGCAGCTGCAGTGTGGGCAGAGCAAGGAACTTGAATTATTCTGATCAATGTGTACAAAGAGACATAATCAGAGATGATATGACATCTTTTTTGGGGGAATAAATAATTCCTTGGGAATATTTCCTGCAGAAGCTCAGTGATCCTGGTTAAGATATCAATAGTTATTTCTGCTATGGTATAGTCAATGGATATACAAACAGCAGAACATACTTGTTTTGGATCCAATGTTTCTTTGACAATGTATTCTTTTACTAAGCCGAGTAGATCAAAAAATTCAGGCCCAGTTCCCTCCAATGCAACGGCTGCCTATTGCTGCCAAAGAGAAAGCGCATCCTGCTGCACAGTGTTGACATCAAGAGCTCCCTGCTGTGACTCCTCCTCTCTCAGAGCTGGTCGCGAAAATAGGTTTATTCTCTGCATCTTTAGATTCAGAGGCTTTACATTTCCCTTTTTTCATTGTGTTTAGTTCTGTCCTTGTTCTTTTGATGGCTGGGCTCGTCATAATTTTAACTGAAAATGAGCCAAAAAAAGAAACTAAATAATGACAAGTCATGAACTTGACAACCTATTTTACAACTGTTTGTAAGTTTACCACTATCCAGAGGTATTTGGTAAACATGACAGTCACATTACATGGATTTAAGTCATGTGATTTGGAACTGAAATGGACTACAGTCACAAATTTAATGGATTTGGACTTATCTTGATAAGTTCATTAAAAAACTGGGTAGAACTTAGACTTTTACATAAAGGATTTATGAATATACTCAGACTTTAACAATTTAACATGCAACAACTTGATATCTTACACCAAAGAGAAAGGGTATTGTAGAAGAAAAGCTAAGGGCAGACAACCATTGAACCAAGCCAGGCACCCAATCCATCCCTCAGGAATCCCTCCACCATATCCTCCTCTTGTTGGTGCAACAGTCTTCATCTAATGCCATTTACTGAGTTTTTCTTCTACATTCTATAATAACAGCAACATCTGGTGAGGGAGGCAAGATCTGGTATCTTGTTTCCAACCTTTATGTCAAGCAGAATGCCCACAGGAAATATTTTTAACGTCTGGTATTATTTACGTTCAATTAGTGTCTTTAAAATGTATTGCTTGAGAATGTCCACTGTAGTTTTTTTTTTATTTAAATGACACTATTAAACAAAAACAATCAATTTGATGATCTACTTAAATGTCTTTAAACAGGCAGATACCTGCTGCCTGTCGAAATTAAAATTAAATACATTTTTATTTACACTATTGTCGGTATTAATCTAGGTATCACAGATTTCTTGTATCATTGGGTTGTTTTTTTTATAATCCATCAGTTTAGTTAAACTATTTAACTATATTACAATTTGTACCAATTAATCCAAGACACATTTCCATTACAAAATGCTTTGAGAACTAATAATGGGATGTCTAATTAATTACTTATATTTAGATAATTTAGATAATTATTATTTGCTATATTTTTTCATGATACTTGGAAAGTCACAGGGTCCATAGTTAACAAAGCAAGTTTGTGTGCTTTGAGTCTGAACAACATTTTATTACAAGATTATTTTCATACATTTGATTAAATAACTTCAACTAAGAAAATTTAGTCAATGAATGTAATGTTGTCAAAGCAAGTTATAACAGGGTTTCCGCGGGTCATTAAAAATCATTCTTTCTTTCTCAGGCCTTAATAGGCATTAAATTCAATAAATGTGATTATCGTGGCATTTAAAATGCTTTATCTAAAAAAAAAACAGTTCAGAAAAACAATTTCGTCAGATGTATTATATCAGATAACTGTTTGCGAGGAGCTGCTTCCGGTTGATCTAACGCCGTATGTTCGGAAAAGAAGCTTCAGGCGGAAAAAAAGCTAGAGAATGAAAAAAATGCAAATTTCAACATAAGTGGCTGAAAAATGATGTTAATGGTAAAGATTATCCCAAATGGGGTCATCAAAATGTCTAGTTTTGATCTTAGATGTGAGAAGGGGAAGATTGCATCAATTTTATCAAAATGTTTATTTAAACAATTGGTGCTCATATGCCATTTTTAGTTTAATTGTACAGCATATAAGTACCTAAAAATCTTACATTATAGGACTTATACAGGGGGCATGAGAGCTTTTAAGAGCCAATTTTAAATGGTAATGACTTTTATCCATCAATCCATTTTTAGTCACGCTTATCCAAAGCACTGTCACGAGAGGTGCTGGTGCCTATCTCCAGCTGTCTACAGGCAAGAGGCGGGGTACACCCTGGACAGGTCGCCAGTCCATCACAGGGCAACACAGAGACAAACAACCATGCACACTCACATTCACATCTAAGGAAAATTTTGAAAAGTCAGTTAACCTAACAGTCATGTTTTTGGACTGTGGGAGGAAGCCAGAGTACCCAGAGAGAACCCACAAATCACAAATTTGGACTTATCTTAATAAGTTCATAAAAATTTAGAATTTAGAGAAAACAATTAACCTAACAGTCATGTTTTGGACTGTGGGAGGAAGTCAGAGTACCCAGAGAGAACCCATGCATGGTCAGGGACAAGATGCAAACTCCATCCAGAAATATATATATATATATATATATATATATATATATATATATATATATATATATATATATATATATATATATATATATATATATATATATATATATATAGATAGATATTTATTATTTAGAGTCATGGGTACTTTTGATGGCATTAAAATTATTTCTAAGAGCATTAAAAAGCATTAAATTACAGTTACTCATTTCTGTATAAACCCTGTATAAAAAAAGCAGTTAGTAAGCAAGGATATAGTTTCTTAAGAATTCCATATCAGGCCAGCGTAATCATGATATTTAAATAATTCAAAAAAAGTTTCTGCCGACTAGTAATTATTTTATTTTTCCTCACTCACATCATCACCATTCTACAGGAGGGAACTTAAACCTCTTTATTTTTTAGATTCCAAAGTTACAGTATAGACCCCTACTGGAAATAAAAAGCAGAGGCAAGGCTTGGTAGGAAAGAGAACAGTGCCCCCATTTTGCTTTCAGGCAGACCTATGGACTGCTGTGGCTATAGTTACAGCAGGCAGCCCAGACATCACTGGTCCTCATATACTTCTACCTACTGTATTGTATCTCCGACAGCAAGCATCTCTCCAGCGCAGTGCGGCTTTAAGAGGACCGGTGGCTCTTAAAGCTGCGGCTGGCTCCTCCTTCCTCCCATGATGTCAGTCAGAGGGAGAGCTAGGGGGGGAGAGAGAGGTGGGCAGCATTGAGGAGCTGAGTTCATACTATACTACTGAGACATCTACAGCTTAGCAGACAGATACGGTGAACCGCCTATCCGGGCTCCTGTAAGTGATGCTGCACTGAGGCGCACTTTGATCCAACTCCACTGGGGGGGCGATGCGCTCTCTGCATCCCTCATTTAAGAGTTTTTTTCTGTGTGCGCGGAGCCTGAAATCAGTCCAAACAAGTGACTGCTGAATAAATTAGCCCGAAGCTTTTGTTGTTCATTGATGGTATATATATTTTTTCCTCCTATTTTTTTGTTTATTCTCATTTTTGTGCCCTCGTGGATTGAAGTTGTAATGTTTGAATAAAGAGCCGTTTAGCGCTGGTGTGGGTGTTGATTCAGTGTGAAAACAGCTGGTTGCTTTTCAAGGCAAATTAGGTTAGAGATACAAAGTTTATGTAAAGCAAGCATGGATCACTGCGTATCTCCGGCTGTGGGATTGTGAGTCCAAAGACTCCCGAAGAGGAAATACAGCCTCCCTTTTGAAAACAAACCTAAAAAAAAAAAAAAAAAACTGTCCAAGAAGTTGATTTTTTTTTCTTCCTCTAACGCAGGATCGCATTTTGTAGCGCACGGATAAGTTTTTTTAGTGGATTTTTATATCACTTCTACAACCGAGTCAGATGAGGATTCTTTCTCCCCGGTTTCCCCACTTCAGATTCATTCGTGGCATTTTTTTTTCCTTAGCCAGAGATGTCTCTTCGCGGCAGTACTCACGGTTAATTTTTTATCATCTCCAAGCACAGAGGGTGAGCTTTGCTTTTGTTCTTTTTATTATTATTACTATATTTATCACAAAATGTGTTTTTTCCAGCATTCTCTGAACAGCAGCACCGCTCTATCTCCTGAGCGCACTTAATAATAACTAAAATCTAAGCCAATATGAAGTGATAATCTGTTAGATGAACAAACATATTTTGCATCAGTGAATGATTCAGTTTGTGGGAGGCTTCAAAGCGCGATCGGACTTCACTGGAAATAAGTTGTCGCATTATGAGACTGTACTGCGTAAATTGAAACGATCTCGGGCGTCATTCGGTCCTGCTCCGCATTGTTATTCCCAGATAAACCGGCCTTGTTCTTAAGAGCAGGCGACTGCATGGACTTTTCATACCGGTTTCTCAACATTTTGGCCATTAAAGTCGATGCGTGGGTGCGTGGCAACAGTGCGCTCCTGCTCGAGCGGTTCACGTGTCGCAGACCTCAGGGGCGATCATGTCAATCTGTGCGCACCAGATTCAAGAGGAAGAGCATGTATTTATATTTAATATATGCTTCTGTTGGGTAGGTCTTGTTTGCAAAGATGCGTTAAATATTCTGCCTGGATAATCACCAGAAAAAACACACCTGTTCATACAGTTATAATTCACTAAATAAACAAGAGTTAAGGTAAAGCAGGGGGGGAAGTGCCCGTATGGAGAAAGACATGTTGGAAAACATGATCACAACCATGTTTAGCTTATTTGGATTATTAAATTCACTTTGAACTACTGGCTTGCAGAAGTGCATTAAGTAATGCACTTTAAATAGTTAAGGCTACTCATGATCTCATGTCTCTGTTGTGCCAAAGATCTTATCTTTTGACTTTGCTGCTGGCAATTTATGCTGAAATTCTGCTCAATGTCAACCTTTCCTGAATCCTGAGAAGCTGAAAAGGATTTCAGATGTTTTATTTTATGGTTTAAAGGTTAAAATAAATTTAGATGTTCAAAGAAACATCAGACTTTTGCCATGAATAGAATTTTCCAATATCCGGGTCCTTCTCTTTCCCCCATATATATTAATACTTTGAAACAAAGACCTACACTCACTGCTTCATTTGTTCAAACAACAGTAAATAAATACATTTTTAGTGTTGTTCTGTTTCATCAGAAGTGTGCCGTTTAAACTAAACATGAGCGTATGAATAATGTTATTGCAGCTTAAGTTTTGAAGTCCGGTTTTGCATTATTTAATGTTTTTTTTTGTCATAATTTGAGAGTTTCAACTTATATGGAAGATGTGAGATCATGTACAATGACCACATCACATTTAAAAATTGTAACCTTTTGAAAGGCTTCTGGATGTATAGACGGCCCACTTCAGGCTAATATAAAATGCAATAAATTAGCTTGTCATGTTACTAATGGAACGGTTGAGAACTATTACTCATTTATCAAGCAGTAAAACCCTCGAGAATCCAGTCCTGTCAACTAATTGTCACACTGACTGAAATTGCTCTTGAGTTTCTTAAGCCTCCTAACAGATATATAAATTGTTTATAGGATAAACAATCACTGGTAATATATATTACTTTAATGTAATATTAATGTCTATGGAGCCATTTCTGTTAAAAATTGTAGCCTGACATATAGAGTTCTGCTTAAAATTTAAACCCTATACTTTTTGGGGCGAAAGGTTTTGTATTTGTGGACTGAAAAAGAGCTGTCGAAGGTTGACAGAAACCTGTTTTGTCAGCCATCTGGGATCCCTGAGGCACTTTGGAGAAAACAAACAACAAGGAAAGACAGTGAAGTCGTGCATTGACCATTGCTATATCACGATTATTACATGCAGCTGAAATATTAAATAGATAAATATAAAAACTACAGTTTTCCTGGTGTAAGGACTTGATTCACCCTGAGTCTCTGAGCAGTGACACTTAAAGAGTCCAGTGAGTCCATCGTTGGGGTTAAGGTAGGGAGTGACAGTAGCAGCATATCTCACCTCTTACTGCCACCTCCTGTGGACGCTAACACCAAGAAGACCTGCCCATCATGCTGTTGTGTAAAGAGGCTTTGGGTCTGGAGAGCCCCTTCTTCACTATGTCTCCCAAGAGGGAAGTTTCAGTTTGCCTGCTGGATTCAACCTGCTGTCGAGGGTCTCAAAATAGAATTTCAGGAGACTAGTAAAATATAAGCAATGGAGACACTGACTGACACCTCAAATCTCCCCCCACTTTTTTTCCCTGCAGCATTATTCATTCTCTCACCTAGCTTATCCCTCCTGGACATATTTGTAAAGAATTGTGACATGTGAAAAGAAGTGAAAATGTTGGGAAATCAGGGCACTAAGAAGAAAACTTAAATTACGTTTGCAAAATGCAAAAAGCAAATGGGTTTTGACCAGCGTGTGTTGAAGAACAGTTTCATATTATGTTGCACATTCGAAAGCGACCTGAGCTCTTATTTCTCATGGGGTAGAAAAACTGTACATCTCTAACCCACAATGAAGTGAAAAGGTGCCATTTCTGTTACTACATTTGTACTTCTGCATGTTCCGTGTGTGAAAATACAGACGGCAACCCTTCATCCAGTGGAACATTATTATCAATTACAAGGAAGAGGAAATCTAGATCATCCTTTGATCTTTTTCTCCCTTTTTCTTTTCGGTGAATCACATCCCATTTAGGGATGTAATTTAAACTTCATTATACATGGTGCGCGCTCAGCCTCGGACCATGTGGTGATCATCGCTGTAAAGCAATTGCTGCTCACTTTCCAAAAAAGGTCTGCATTTCTGAGTTAAGTGTGTCACTTTTACTAATAGTAAAAGTGACACACTAATAGGATATATCCTGTCAGTATTTTGACAGGACAGCACAGCTTGAGCTTCATACGCAGAATGAATAATGAAAAAAATCTCTAAGCAGATCAATGCCGGGCCGTGCTTTTTTCTTTTTGTCCAACTGTACTGTAATGAGTCTCATGCGACTGCTTTTTGATACATTTCATGTCTGTCTTTACGTGTTTAATGAAATGAACTGCAATGGTTGCAGATTTAAAACTGGCTTCATTAAATTCTTTTTTTTTTTTTTCCAATTAATCCCCTTTTATCAGATGAACAAGAGCTTCAATGAGCTCTGAACATTTTTGTCTTGGAATTTCAGAAGAACCCTGTTGTGGTTTTTAGGTATTTTAGGTAGTAATTTCCTTCAAGAAAGGCATCTGTTTAATGTTGGTTGTTGTGGATTTTGTAAGATAGGAAATATGATCATTATGTAGTGTTTTTGTCATATTGTGATAATGCAGTTATAATTGGAATTCAGACTGTCACATTGTCTATGCAACTCTTTGATGGAAATGTATGTATGATTTCAAGACTACAAAACAATATTATACCAATAGGAAAATTCAGATTTGATTATGAAAAACCAGTGGGGTAGAATTTAAACACACAATGAGAAACCGGTAATAGAATTACTTCTAACATATACTAAACTAGAGACGTCCAGCCAATAGTATTATGAAAAGGAAATATGCTGCATCTATGCCCTTTCAGCTTCTCTAAGATATAGTAAAAAAAAACAAAAAACAACACAGAGCCTTGCCGATGTTTCGTAAGCCTAAATGATTTTAGATTTCTACACACTTTATATTTTGGGATATTATTATGTATACACCAGCACAACATCATGCGTAATTCTAAAGTTTAAGGGGAAACAATGATTCATGGTGTTTCAAATGTTTTGACTAATAACAATCTGAAAGGTATTGCTTTCCTATGTATTTAGCTTCCACACTGCTGCAGCATGTCTCCGCCTGACATACTGTACCCCAAACTCTGATTTAGTGACATCCCTGAATACTTATACTTTAGCCCAGTTCTCTTTTTCAAAATAAATCTTGCTCAGTTGCATTTTGATGGAAGGCTGCTATGAACATTGGTTTTTAAGGTCTTTCAGATAATTCCATTCAGTTTAAATTTAGGCTGTTCTATGATCAGAGTCCTATTTTGATCTCATCTGAGCAGTGCACCTTATTCTCTGTGCCTGTTGTGCCTCTTACAGGAAGTAATTTCAATAGTTTTTTTTATCCCAAAACATTCTATTCTTTTCTTTTCCCCTTTTGACAAACACTGGTACAGTAAGTATCAAAGTATTCCTAGATTTTGCATGTGACCTGTTTAATTACAGTATTATAATTGCTGACCATGACAGTGTTAGAAATCACAATTTTTCTAATTTTCTTTACCTCCTACACAATATCCACTTAACAGTTTGAGTCTTGGCCAGTAGACATATACAGTGCCACTAAAATGTATCCATACACCTTAAAAGATTTATAAAGTTAAAAGGTATTAGTAATACAAAAGAGTAATGTTATGCATGAGGGATGTTATTTAAAAAAAAGTAAAATAACATGTTTTGGATTTGATCAAAATAGCATGGTTTTATTGATATGATTGCCAATTCATTATTTGTGATTTAGCTTCAACTCTAAGAGACTGGTATACGTCACCCTAATCAAGAGCTTATGACATAGTTTCTGTCAAATTTAGGTTAGGACTCTTGGTTTGCCACAAGGAAAGGTTACTTTTACCTCCAGTCATAGGAGACAAATTGGGAAAATGTTATTTTGTGAATCATTTGTGGCTTTACAATCCATCTGGTGCGGGTACCAAAGGTTAGGCCTAATATTTGCTTTGCAAGTAGATTTTACATTTACGATATCTTGAAATATGATATCCAACCAAATATCACATAGACAGCAGTGTCTTGCCATTGCAACATTAATGATATGATAATTGCGATTGGATATATTATGCAGCTCCTAAACTCAATATGCCTCACTTAACCGATGCTCTCCAACAAACTTCTTTTTTTTTAAAAAAACAAAGTATTTCACAGAGACTAAATAATGTGCAGATGGACATTTGGACTAACTGTCACATAAAACCACCCCAAAATACATGAACCCCTGTGGCTGTAACATGACAGAATGAATGAAGAAACTTTTGCTGTGTATATTGGTCTTTCATACTTTACATACCAGTTGTCATGGATTTATAAAGGCTTGTGGTGCAAACCTAAAACAACCTGTGTCACTGATAAAAATTGTGGAATAAATTTCTTCAATGCGCTTGATAATGGGTTAAATTAATGGATAAGTCATAATGTCAGCTAGCAAACCACACAAAGTAACTCCCCTGTTGCCATCTAATTGGTTGGTGGAGAGCAGTCAATATTTTATTTTATTATGCACTATTAGGAGGGGTTTTGCTGAGCATGACTCTTTCATCACATTCCAGTGACCTAGTTGGGTTCTAACAGTTTGGGTTCTTGCCCCTTGGCATCTATTTACACATATCAAACAGTCAAAGATTTTAGTCAAACACAGCAAGGATTTGTCATTTCATACAAACAGCCAGTTGGGTATATAGTGAAGTTGATTGATGGTGGCTTTAACAAAGAGTTCCACTCTGTCATCTCCTTCCGCTGTCGTTAGTCGTCTAAACAGAGCTCTTATCATGCCGTGCTCGCTTACACACACTGGCGTTCGTGAAATATGTAAGTGCTCTATTGTTTACATTCAAAGCAAATGAGGTTTTCCATTAATAGCTTCTGTCAAGCAAGTGCAAGTGTTCATGTGTGTTCTTGCATGAAAGCACTAACGCTTAAGGCTTAGTTCAGCTTCCTCCAAATTAGCTGGGATCTTGATGTGAGGTTGCACTTCATAATGACACTGCTGCACCAGTTTGACTTATTCACATCTGATCTTTTCCGCAGATCATTTTTATCAGGCAAGGTCATTTCTTAACGTGGTTCTAAAGCAACAGTAAATTCAACAAGTGTCATCATTTTGGATTAATCAGTTATTATAATAATTAGATGGATTTATGGCATGTGTGATCTGCTGACCTTTACATGTGTCTTGGCTCAGTGATGTCAACATAGGTTAATTATGTAAAACTGGATTTAATTTGCCCTAAAAGCCATGGGAAGAATGTTGGCTCATAACTAGTCTGAATAAAGAGGTCAAGATGAAGCCTCCCCTTGTGGGAAAATATCACTAATTACAGCTGAACATGGACACCCTTTAAATGTCTTCTTTTTTCCTCCCCTTTCCCCCTTTCTTTTCTTTTTTTATAGAAAGTTGCAGCTGTAGAAGTGAAGCTCACACCTAATTTTGAGCATGAACTTGGCAAGTCAGGTGCATGTTCTGGTGGCCTTGCTCGCCTGTTTGGTCTCATTATGCAAGGCCCAGGAGAGGGACTACATCGTGAAGGAGGAGCAGCCAGAGAACGTTCGGATTGGAAATCTGCGCAAGGACCTCGACCTTAACCTGGACCCGACTATCAGGCTGTCCTCTCCGCTGCAGTTCAAGCCTGTTTATAAGACAGGTGACGTGCCTTTGGTGAGGGTGGAGGCCAACACGGGGGAGATTTTCACCACCAATCACAGGATTGACCGGGAGAAGCTGTGCTCGGGGGTCTTCACGGAGAAACGCTGCTACTATGAGATCGAGGTGGCAGTGCTGCCCGATGAGATCTTTCGGCTGGTTAAGATCCGGTTCCTGATTGAGGATGTGAACGACAATGCACCCCTTTTCCAGTCCACTGTCATAAACATCTCCATCCCTGAGAACACAGCTATTAACACCCGCTACCCGGTGCCATCAGCATTTGACCCTGATGTAGGGATCAATGGGATCCAACACTATGAGCTGGTCAAGGTGAGGATATATTCTGTTTTAATTAAAATAAGTATGATGTTAAAAACATTGCTCTAATTTAAATCAACTCAAAAAAAAAACAACGTTATTTTTAAAGGAGCCACATATAATAAATACATGCATATTGTTTTTTGTTTTTCATCAAAGAAACTGAAATGTTAAATTGCTAATTAGAAAAGTGTAAAAATATACAAATATAAAATGTGTCTGTTGGTCAAACTATTATTTTTCATCATTATAACAGACCTGATACTTTTTTTTAACTAATGCAAGTCAATACATTTTCATGATCTACCTCTTTACCTCTTTACTTTATCTCATGTCACACATACACTTAATAAGAACTTTATTTCTACTTATTCTATTTATTCATTTGTTTTATTTTTATTTAACCAAATGGGTCGGTTGAGAACTATATGCAATAGCTGAATATCTAATCACATTGATAAAAATAACCAATGGATTCATATACCCAGCCATTTTCTATTCCCATTTTAACCTGTTTAGGGTAGCAGGGGGTTCTGGAGCCCATCCCAGGCATCAACATGCTGCAGGCAGGGTACTGCTTGGACAGATCTCTATTTCTTCACAGTGCCAAAACAGAGACATTGAACCATGGACTTGCACATTCAAACCCAGGGGTAATTTAGCATCACCAGTTAACCTGGTGCATATGCCTTTGGACTGTGAGAGAAATCTGGAGAACCTGGAGAAAAAAAACACGCATGGACAGGGAAAGGGCACATAGAATACTCAGAGCCAAGATTTCGACTAATAACCTTCTAGCTGTCAGGCAGCAATGACAATGACAGAGGTCACAATAAAATCCATTATTTATTTATTTATTTATTTTTAAAATATTGTTCTCGCAGTTAATGTGATTATTTAACTACCATTCTTCCCTTTCCTGTGTCCAAAATTTCACATAAACATAAATTATTTCAAAGGCTTCTAATCCCATTACAAAAAGGCCCAATTTAAATAACAACAGTGTATTTAACAGATTATAGGGGGTTGTTAGCTAAACAAGCAGTGTTTAGGCATCTGTTAGAAACAGAAAGGCTGCTTTAAAATGTCTCTATTAACCTTGTGCTTTAGTAATTTATCAAAAATAAAATAATAATTTTAAGCAAAAAACTTTTATCTGTCCTGCAATGGTAATCACTTTAAAGTTAACTAGACTTACTGACACATGATTTAGATTTATTGTAAAAAAAAAAAAGATGTTTCCTTTCTCCTATCCATTCCAAAATCATGTCAGTTACTTTATCCAACTTGGTTCCTTTGTTACTACTGGAGTGACAAAAGAACCTAGATTTTACTTGTAAAACTAATATAAATTAATACATTTGGTAGGTTTGTAGATAAATTAAGAATAATATTAAGAATATTTTCACACATTAACTTTATTTAAAGACACATGGAAATGCAGTCAGGAAAGAATAATTAGACTATCCTTGTTTTTTTTTGTCCTTTTGATTATATTATGGTAATATATCTTTAGAACTAGACACTGAAGAAAAAAAATGGTGTAACTTTTTTCACTATTACTGTATATGCTACATTAAAGAACAAAGACAAATGTTATTACTAATGTCATTAAGCTAATTGGTCCAAATCATCTAAATAAAACAGAAATGGCATGATGTCTAAGTCATACTTTTACTCTTCGATGTTATTATAATAAAGGGGCTTAGATGAATTTCTGGGAGGGCATTAGAGAACTTAGAATGAAATTATGAACTAATTTCAAATACAAAAGTATGTTCTTTTTTTAGAGTCAATTTATGAACTGTCTCTAGAAATCGAAGAATGTCAAGTGTAGCCTACATGCTTTTGATTGAGCTCTGACACACTGTTGTGCCTGCAGGATGCCAGATATATGACTAATAGGCAGTGTAAATGCTGGGTTCTTGCATTGTTTTACTTTGTCATTTTAGATGACTTCATACATTAGGAATCAGGTGTTCCATGGTTCTTTGATTGTACAGTACCTTTCTCTTTATAAAAAAGAGAGAAAAAAATACCATGACCTATTTTTTCATTAAGCCAAATGTGTTGCAAAACTTGAATATTTAACACTAGCCATAAAACTTTCCATGTGCTTTATATCACTTTGGCAGTAGGCTATAAAAAATGAGCGGCTTCTTTCACCATGCAGCTATATCATAGACTGTGCATTTGAGAGTGCAGACACGGTGTATAAAACCATGTATATTCAATTTTCAGCATCCAGTTACATATGCTGGACATTGTTCTTTAAATTTAGGCAAATAAAAGCATACAGCATTATATAGTGAATTAATTTATTTGATATCCAAATGGAGTTAGATGTAAATTCAGAGCTCTATGTTTCACATATTACAAAAAAAGGAAAATAAAAATGTTTAATTAGCGTAATGGAGGAAAAACTTTAATATTCACAACAGAGAAAGGTTTGAAAAAAAGCATAATGGGATGTAGATTTGACAACTCCCCCAACAGTGACGGAATTAACATTTACCGTCAGCATCTCTCTTGCTTACCAATTGGCATTTTTAAAGCGTCTCCTCGCTGCCAGGACCTCTCCTCTGCAGTGTCCTGAATTGTTCATGTCTGGAAAATCACCAACCAAATGTTCAGCTCATTACAGTGATCATCTGCAATCATTTTCTTTGCCCTTTTCACAATATATAGCCCCATAAACCCCTGCGTGTAGTCATACATTTTAGTATCTGTGGCTTTGTGTCCCTGATTCAATTCCTCACATTATGTTCTCGTTTTACCTGAGATTAATTTCCTCGTGTCCCAGCTTCTGTATGAGTTAAAGCATTAAAGGAGCCCGAGACATTTCCTTTGTTATCATTCATTTCAGAAGTGCTGTAGAAAGCTAGGGGTTTAGTCGGGAAGGACTGTGCAAGCATTTCCTAGAATAGCTCTTGGCTGCTAAGCCACCCGTGGTCTATCTGTGTTTGGTCCTGGGAGATTTGTCTCAGAAGCTCCCCAAGAGTGATAGTTTGTCCAGTTTTCTTGTATTGTTCAGGACACATTTCTAAAATTGTACCATCATATTGCAGAGTCATCATATTCAGCTTTTTGTCACTTGCAGGTTTTTAACGCACAGAACAAATAAAAGAATTTTAAGAATGTCTTGTACAGCTTTCCCCTATTTTAAAAGCTAAAGAGATGAAAAATACTTAGCCAGTACAGAGTTATAGCTCCACAGGGGATTAGGGTTTATAAGGTTTGCTGACAAATTATCCTATGAGTGAACATTTTTCACATCATGAATTGTATCCTATGTTGTTTCTTTATTTAAGGGTTAATATAAAATGACTAATATGCTTGGATTATTTTGCCTTAATAATAGATATGCTTTCTAGCCAGCAGGAAAGGTCTATAGGGACCAGGCAGGCAAATGAATGAGAAAAAGAATATATTCTATCAGCAATGCAAACCTACATGTTGTGCTGAACTTCTCAATGTTTATTCCACTAATGAGCATCAAGTTGAGTGATATATTCACAATTCCATCCAAGTCTCATTTGAGAACTAGAGTGAAAGATGAAGCCCTTGATAATCTGAGGCACTGTTTGTGAAAATGAGGTTCACAGTCAACCCTTCCTTATCAGCAGCCAGCTCACCTCCTGCGACTGTCACTCAATCACTTTCCCATAAATTAGCCAATTCTCATTTGGTTTGACTCTGCTTCTAACCCACATTCAGCTTTTACACCAACCTTTCGACCTGTTACATGGAATTAAACACATAAAACAAGTTCAGGAGGGCATGCACACGTCACCGTTTAGAGAGCTTTGTCCCTCTTGCTCAGCCTTAAGGTTTCCAGCAAGTGATTTATGCTAGTATTTGGCCTTTTCTTACCCTGCCCCAGATCTTATCACAATCCACCAGACTAATTTTGCATTCAGAGGAATGCACAGCCTCCGAGAAAGCTCTCTTCAACTTATTGAAATGCAGTGAGGGCTGTCTTGTCAGTTTTAAAATTGTTTGAAACCAAGACAAAAGCACAGCCGAACTGCAAGCTCATAAATCACTGTGCAACATTCCCTTTGACACATGCTAACTCAACATCCTACTATTATCAGGCTTTTCCAAATATCACTGCACAGATACTGAGCTACCATGCAGAATCAATGAACTACTCAAACAGCTGAGGATTGAGGAGCTCTGTATGGATAGAGTGGATGATAACTTTACAGCTCCCAGAATGTTTCCTTGGCCCTTTAAGTTATGTGAGAAATCATTTTGCAGTGTATATAAAGATTCCACAGAGCTTAGTCATGTGGCAGTTTCTCTATATTTTATATACCTTGTCCATTTATTCCTACAAGATTTTACCCAAAGGGAACCCTAAGTAAGGCATGAAAGATCATTGCCGCAGAGTTTTTATTTTTTTTACTTAAGTAGTTCTGTCAATCACTAATGTGTTGACAACATTTCCTCTGCATGCAATTTTTCAGAGTACACAATAATTTACATGCTGCAGCTGCACGTTCTTGTGTCGGCTACAACGCTGTGTTGGCAGAAGGACAGCTCTACATTCTGCACACTCTTGTGCTTGCAATTTGGTGAAAACGGTTCCCCCTTGAATAACGAGAATGTACATATCTTAATCTCATTTGATAGCTATGCCTAGACAGAGTAATCTCTTCCAACATTATGTGCAGCATGAAGCTTATCTCTTTAAAGAGGATGCTTTTTCTTGTTTTACCATGAAACTGCTTCTGACTGAGGGAGCTTCAAAGGGCTTCTTTGTTTCATAATGTGCATGCAGCTCATTCATAGGCTTGATCTTCTTATTTCCTCCCCCTACTCTCCTTTTCTCCTCTTTTTGTGACCCTTCTTTCTGTCTTCTGCCTGATTTATTTATTTCCTCTTCCTTCTGATTTATGAACCTATATGATTCAAAATTTTACTTTAAACATTAGGAATGCATTGACTCTTAACAGCTACTGCCAGTCCCTCTGGTTTCTCATGTGGATTACTCATGCATTTCTTTTCATTTTCCTCCAGCTGTACCTTTGCGTAGATTTAGCTCCTTTTGATCAAAAAGCCTCTCTAATGTAGTAGCGTATAAAATGTAAGGTTTTTCATTCTGCTCTTTTTAATTTAAGGTGATCCCATCTTGCAGTGTTCCCAAATATAAGCTTATTGGTGTGTCTCCATTTCCATCAGTCTTTTTCCCTCTGATAATGAAACAGAAACAGTGCAAGGTTACCTAGTCTATTCTACCATATATACAAGATAGGAGGATAAATTTAATCTTATTTTTTGTGAAGACAACATATGAGAAGGCTAAAGAAATTAATAAACCCAATTGAGCTATGGTTACTTAAAAAGGATGAACAGACTTGATTAACTTGAAAGATTTGTCACATTTGAAACAGATTAAGTAGCTTTATTTGAATTTTTGCAGCCAATAAACCACAATATAGAATCACTTCATGAGGAAAAAATATTTTGACTCCATTGTACTGAGCAGAGAGACACCTCTTAAAATCTTAGGTTGTAATTCTTAAACAATTACATATTTCATTATTCACAAAGTAAACCAGTGACATTTTTATCTATGATATGGAGTTAAGCTTAAAATTGTTAATTCATGAGAGTCAAAAAAAGAACCCATAGTGACAGGTATTTAAAAAACATATTAATAGCAATGTACACATTTTTTACGCAGTAAACAATTTAAATATTTAATTATATTTAAAAGGTGGGTCGTTTAGAGATTCATAGGAAATCGTTTAATATTCAATATTAACTGCAACTATTTACTGAAAGGCAATTGTTGGCAATGCTGATGTTCTTTCTATGACCTGTTAGTTGGGGCTCACTAAAGGGTAAGATTTAAGGCATGAAGTTCTAAATAGATAGTTAATCTGGAATTTTACTGATTCCCGTCACCCGTCATTGAGTCTTTAGTTATTTGACTTTCCAAAGTGCCCTTAAAAAATGGTTTTATTCACATTGTCATGTGTAGCAGAAGAATTAACCAAAGATGTCTTGTCTTTTCAGAGTGTCAATGAGTTTGGCTTAGACATCATTGAAACCCCTGAAGGTGACAAGTGGCCCCAGCTCATTGTTCAGCAGAACCTTGATCGGGAGCAAAAAGACACCTTTGTGATGAAGATCAAGGTGGAGGATGGTGGCAGCCCCCCTAAATCTAGCACTGCTATTCTCCAAGTAACCATTTCTGATGTCAATGACAATCGTCCTATCTTCAGGGACAATGAATTGGAAGTAGAAGTTCCAGAGAACGCTCAGATGGGGACTTCAGTGGCTCAGCTTCATGCAACAGATGCAGACCTAGGATCCAATGCACAGGTCCACTTTTCATTCAGCAACCAGATCTCCTCATCAACCAAGCGTCACTTTGCCATCAATAGTTCTACTGGACTAATAACTGTAAAGCAACCTCTAGACCGAGAGGTTACTCCTGTTCATAAACTCATTGTTCTCGCAAGTGATGGCAGCTCAACCCCATCAAGAGCCACAGTGACTGTCAATGTCACAGATGTTAATGACAATGTTCCTTCCATAGACACTCGCTACATTATCAACCTGGTAAATGGGACTGTCCTACTGTCTGAGAATGCTCCTTTGAACACCAAAATAGCCCTTATTACCGTTACTGACAAGGATGCAGATTTGTACGGAAAAGTGGCTTGCTACACTGACCATGATGTTCCTTTCCGGCTAAAGCCTGTATTTAATGATCAATTCCTACTGGAGACAGCTGCCCCTCTAGATTATGAGACCACTCGTGAATACGCTATTAAGATAGTGGCTTCAGACAGAGGAACGCCTCCTTTGAACACTTCAGCTATGGTCTTAATTAAAATCAAGGATGAGAATGACAACGCACCAATTTTCCCCCAGCCGGAAATTCAACTTTCAATACCAGAGAACAATGATCCCTCAACTCAGTTAATAAAAATCAGTGCCACTGATGCAGATAGTGGACATAATGCTGAGATCATTTATACTCTTGGCCCTGATGCACCGGACGGGTTTAACATAGACAGGCGCTCAGGAATTCTCTCTGTAGGGAAGCGACTGGACAGAGAGAAGCAAGAGAGGTACTCATTCACTGTCATGGCAAGAGACAATGGCTCAACACCCCTGCAGAGTAATGTCACTGTTAGGCTAATTGTGCAGGACCTTAATGACAACAGCCCAGCTTTCACACACCCTGAATACAACTTCTATGTGCCTGAGAACCTGCCTCTCTATGGGACAGTAGGCTTGATCACAGTGACAGATGCGGACGCTGGAGATAATGCTGTCATTACTTTGTCTGTTTTGAATGGCAAAGATAATTTTATCATTGACCCCCAAACTGGTGTGATCAAACCAAACATCACCTTTGACAGGGAGCAGCAAAGCTCCTATACATTCATGGTCAAGGCAGTTGATGCAGGGCAGCCACCAAGTTCCTCCTATGCTAAGGTCACAATTAATGTTGTCGATGTGAATGACAATCGCCCTGTGTTTGTCATCCCATCCTCCAATTATTCATATGACCTGGTGCGAACCACCACCACACCAGGTTCTGTGGTCACAAGAGTGTTTGCCATTGACAATGACACAGGTATGAATGCTGAGTTACAGTACAGTATCATCAGCAGCATCATTGTCACATCTAGGGTCTCCCCTCGAGGTCTCTTTTCCATCGACAAAACAACGGGTAACATAACTCTGCAGGAGAAAATAGTATTGGCTGATGTGGGACTGCATAGGCTGGTGGTCAAGGTCAAAGATTTAGGCCAGCCTGAGTCTTTACATGCTATTGCACTTGTGCACTTGTTTGTCAATGACACTGTGTCAAATTCCACATTTATCCAAGAGCAGCTGCGGAAAAGTATGGAAACACCATTGGATCGTAACATAGGGGACAATGAGATAACGCCTCAAGCCAATGGATATGTGATTGTTGTTATAGCAATTATTGCAGGGACCATGACTGTTATTTTGGTCATATTTGTCACTGCCCTGGTGCGCTGCCGACAAACACCTAGACATAAAGTAGTTCAGAAAGGCAAGCAGAGTGGGGAGTGGGTGTCACCCAACCAAGAAAACCGTCAAATCAAAAAGAAGAAGAAGAGAAAGAAGCGGTCTCCTAAAAGCCTTCTCTTGAACTTAGTGACTATAGATGAGTCAAAGCCTGAAGACCCCACACATGAGCATGTTAATGGTACTCTGGATCTTCCGGTGGAGCTAGAGGAGCAGACCATGGGAAAGTACAATTGGGCGACCACACCTACGACCTTCAAACCTGACAGCCCAGATTTAGCCAAGCATTATAAATCTGCATCCCCTCAGCCCACATTTCAAATCAAACCAGAAACTCCAGTGGCCCCTAAGAAGCACCATGTGATCCAGGAGCTCCCCTTGGACAATACGTTTGTGGTGGGCTGTGACTCACTCTCCAAGTGTTCATCAACTAGTTCTGACCCATACAGTGTCTCAGAGTGCGGCTGTCAGGGGGGATTCAAGACTTCAGGGCAAATCGCCACCCGGCAGGTAATTCATGAATTCTTTTTTAAACCCACCCACACTAGTCCTCACTCACATTTCCCTGTTTCTGCCGTGGTAGCTGATGTAAAAAGGGAGAGAGAGCATGAAAGCAAGAGGTTTTCTCATACCAAACATGACAGTGTCTACCTAAATGCTATTTGCACCTAAAAATTTGGTCACATGAAAATGATACATAATTTCTCAAACTAACAGCCCACAGTTTGTTTGATACTGTTTTGTATCCGAAGTAATTGCAGGTTATATAAATTTTTAAAGGTTGTGGTAACTGGCATTTTTTTTTAACCTTGAATGTGAATAGTAGGTGGTGTAAAGCTTGATTTAGTGGGCTTTAGAAAAGGGACAGAGATTGGACTCTCTGTTACATTTGAGGTCAAAGGTAAATTAAGTTGTGTGTATCCGGCTGATATGTTTAACGATGCATATAAAGTGTGTCAAAGGGTCCTCATTCAGGTATTCATTTTGCCATACAGTTAACGGGGAAGGTTTTAGCTAAGGATATACAGTATATATATATAAAAAAAAAACATCCATGGGTTGGGTATGTTTGTGTGTGTGTGGTTTTGTGTGAGAGGGGCTTTAAAAAAATGACCTCACTGTTTTGCTGCTTCTATCTTTCAAATGTTATGCATCTTAAATTTACCAGTGAGAATTTGTGAGAGTGAGACTCATTTAAATAACAGGGTACAGCAAAGGGCTTATGATTCCCTTAAAGATATGTGCCAAATGCGAAGTGCTCTAATAAATAACAGCTGCTAGGGGAAATAAATGTAAATCAGATATGAGGATAGGTGGGCTTACTCTGTCCTGACAGCCCAAGCCCAGTGCTGTCTGAAAGACTGAGAGCTACTTGGGACAAGCGGGTCATACAGATCAAGGTGATGTGGAGACTAGTGACCAATATACTTAACCACTAAGGGTGCAATAGCCCATAATAAAGCCTGCTTAGCCAACTATACATTAAGCCCATAAATGTTCCACTTTAATGGCACCAATTATTATTATAAATGGCATATATAGATATACATTCTTTGCATTCTTTAAACTTGCCAATATGGACAATGACTAATCTCAGCAAAGATGTCTTGCCACTTTGATGTATTTTAGTGTGTTTGATATGACACTAAAGAAAGCTATTCTTATGTTTCTGTTGACTAAGTATTTGACCTGCCATCAGTAGCAAAATTCAATTAAGCAGGGCTGACTAGCATAAGCACAGAGAGGCAATTCATTCCCACTGATATGAATGTTTTCATTAGTTGTACTTCAGTCTCAAAGGTTCAATCACCTTAGTTGCATTTTTTCAGTTGTATTTTTTTGTGTTTTTATTTAACAATTTGATCCTTACTTGGTGGGGGGTGTTTGTGTTTCAGTTCTGATCATAATAATCATAACTGCCACTCATGCATTTCTGGGTCAATTTCATGATGTTGCATCAATATTTTTTGGATGCTTTTAACATTAGGTGCTCTCTTGTTTATGTCGACACCATGATTCTCTGTATTGTTTTTGTTATTTGTGGTTATGTTTTGCCTTTTTTGCGTCAAAGCATATTTTGTGTGACAAGTTCTGGGCTTTAAAATTCTTCATAGCGTTGTAAATGACTGTTGATCCTGTAAAGTGTAGTGCTTAGGCTAATTTATGAAGACACCCACACAGAGCTGATAGTCATTTCCCTTCATCCACCTTTTATTTGAAACCTCAGTCAAAAGCTATGCCCTGCCACACCAAATCATACATAAGCCTACTTCATGCTCTAGTGCTGAAGATTTAATCCATAATGTGTTTATATGACACACTGGCAACTTGTCAGAATGATTTTCCCCTTTTACTTGTAGAGACTGCAAGCTAATATGCAGACATTCAGTTTATGTCTAACAATTCATAATTATTATTATCACTCTGTATTTTATTCATCATAGATTTAAATGGATTTTCACTTCTGTTGCTGATCAGAGTGGAGTATTTCTGAGCAGATGATTTAAACCCATGAATATTTGATTCGTAAACATTCGTCCAAATCTTCAGGCTATGTTTATATCTCATTATTTCGAAGGTGTTTATTTCCTCAAATTTCTTAAGATGGATTATATATTTACCATTATTTCACATTTCGATGTCAAAGGGGTCCCAGCAATTGAATAATATATCAAAAGAAAAATGTCTGGTATCTGTGTCTGCTCACCAGCAGCCAACCTCTTAACAGGGCTGCAGAGACAACATACAGTCTCTAATTTTTCTGTCCCCTTAAGCAACTGCCAAGTGATTCCTCCCACTTTAGACATTACATTTCCCACAAGTTTAAAGTGTGCTTATTTAAAGCCTGTGTCATAGAAAAAAATAGCATGAAGTAGTGCCCAATGAGAATCGGTGGCTGCAGAGGTTAATTAAATGCACTAAAGGGTTAATCACTTGTAATGCAGTATGATTAAAATCACTGTAATTGGTTTGCGAATAAGACTGATAAAGATGAGAAAAAATGAAGGAAGATGTCCTTTAAGATGATCAGGGATGCCAATAACTATCCTTTGGCAAGTCAAGGCCAAGAAATTTGAGGTAAATGACCGACAGCCCATATTTGCTGTGGTCCAATTGAATTTTATTTCCCTTTGATTTAATCTCTGTTTCTTCAAAATAAAGACAATTTTAGGAGACTATAAAACAAATACTTGCTACCTGGTGCTTTCTTCTAAAGGTAAGGCTCTCACTTTTATCAGATAAAACAAAAAGAATAAGTGAGCACTCAGATATTTGTCAAGATTATTGTTGAGTGTTGAGTGCAGTTCTTAAAACAAAAAGCGCTATTTGTTCTTTAAGTTCTGCCTCTCATCAGCACGGCGCCATGCCAGCGCTCCAAAGACAGAGATCATAGGCAGGCTGTTAAGTTCCTTCCTTTGGCTTCATCAAAGTGACAACGCTTTACTGACTTTACAAAAGACTCAGGAAAAAAAAAAATAAAGCATGGAAAAGAACCTTACCATAGAATAACCATCAGGGGGGAACACAGGAGATAATTATGGTTGAAGGTCACTAATATGTTTTCAGGGGCTTACAGATGTAGCTGATAAGGAGGAAAGCTTGTAAAAATACTTCAGAGACTACAGATTTGTGCCACCATATGGCTTCATTATACAGCGAGAGCTGTATTTGCAAATGCCAGCCTCCTCCTTCCCCTCCCTTCCTCTCACAGTCTCATCATTTTCTTTTAACCCCTACCCCTTTGATATAAGAGGTCAATCTGCCTTCAGTGATGAGGAGCTCTTGTTAGAGCATGTGATTTAGCGGGGGCAGATCAAAAACTAACACCCTTCTTCAGTGATATCAAACAGCACATTTAATATACAGAAGGAAAAGGGTTAATGAATTTGTTTGGTGAAGGGTTGTTTTTTATAAATGTAACCTTCTGCGCCAAACCTCTGAAGAAGGTTTTTTTGTTTCTCTGTTCAGTCGTATCTTTATTTAAATTGTGTTTATAGCATTAGGCTTGTTTATGATATTTTTAGCAGTTGGCTTTTATTATCTTCGGAAATCAGAATTTAAAAGCAGTGGATGAATGAAGTTTGCATAAGCTTAACATTCTCAAGAATGATTATGATTTGCAATTGTTAGCTATTCACAGGTTCAAATTAGATTTAGTATAACTACCTTCAGTAAAATTACCACAGCTGAATCATATTATGGTGTTTACCTTAGGAAGCAAAAATTATGATTTACGTGATTTTATTACTTTTGTTCTTAATAGAAAGCAAAGACTATTTCTACTGATGTGAAAATGATTTGACATATTGATTTTTGTGGTCATAAGACTAGCTAACATTTTTTAATTCTAGTGTGTATTTGTTGAAGTTAGTTCTACTAGATTGCGGTCAGTTTTGGAAAAGTGACAAAATCCTGAGAAGCTAATAGCTTGTCAAACAAATCCATAAGTCTATCTAAGAATGTTAGAGGCTGCAGAATTCGTTTGTGTAATTTAGGTAGCGTAATGTGTCTGCCAGTTGTATCAATCCACCTGGTCAGCTATTGCCCCATTGACACTACCCCACTGAAACCAATCCGTGCCGAGTTCGGACCGAGCTTGGATCAGTTAACCGTGCCGAGCTTGGTTCTAATGACCATTTACACATCATGCTAGCACGGTTCCTCGCCTCCTATTGGCAGTCCACGATAATACAGATCTCAAGGTGGGATTCATAAAGACAAAAATGGTGGTTCCCATAACATTCAGGAACTTATGTGCCTCGATAGCGTCTATACCCAAATTTTAATGAAAGCCTTGGTCTCTGAATCATCCCAGGTCGCACCACGCTCTTTTGATGCTGTTTATTGTTAATAGGCTGAGAAGAATTTAATGTTGTGAACAGATGAAGAAATCTAAGAATTGCAAAGCTGGACGCACCGTAAAACCCATGAAATTAGTCAGCTGACTTTAAATAGGAGATGACATGATCTGCTCATGCACTCTTTGTTATTAGAGAACCTATCAACAACTGAACCGCAGCGTGCCCTACTGTTGAACTAGTGCTAAATTTAGCATGTTTGGTTGCATCTGACACGGTCCAGTTTAATTGCGTTCCATTTACACTCAACCGTTATCTCAGTTACCTAGCTCAGACCGTTCTCAACACGCTTTCAAAAGGGTAGTGTCAATGGGGCTTTTGACTTATCAGTCCACTCTAAGACCAACAAGACTGGAACAAAGTTTGGTATTTTGTGTAAGGCTATCATTTTTGCAATGGGATCAAAGGTACATTTTTCAGATATATAAAGTTTTAGAGCTGTTCAGATATTATCCTGATAAACTGACAATAAGCAGGTGAGCTGATGCAGCCAACAGTGTAAACATTGGAGGTATCGTATTGGAATATGGATACAGTTCAGATAAGAAAACGGCTACAAAAAAAAAATAATAATAAAAAGTTTGTGAAAATAGTTGTTTTAATATTTTATAAAATGTTATCTAAATGACTTTCAGTGTAAATTAAAATGTT